AGCCATCTCTCCAGCCCCCTTGACTGCACTTTCTTCATGTTTATGGGAAGGACATCCGGGTGTTGAAGAGAGCTGTTGTGAGTGTTCATGTATGGATCTTTGTGTGAACAGACCCATTTTCCCTGACTAAATTCTGAGAGCTGTGTGTGGCTTCATGGAAACTTACAGACTGATTTCCAGAGTTCCAGTTGCTCTTCCTCCAGCCAGTGGCTAGTGTTGGTGTTTGCCACTTTTTGTGAGTAGCTTTGCTGTAGTTTTTGCTTGTGATTGTGACTTGTAGTTACATCACCAGTGACTAATGATGTTGAGCATCTTCCTGTGCTGCATCACAGTTGAAGATCCTATTCAAACACTTTGCTCACTTCTTTATTTTTTGTTTTTAATTTTTATTTTATGTGTTGTGGATGTTTTGCCTGTATGTGTATCTGTGTACCACATGTGTGCCTTGTGCCCACAAATGCTCAAAGAGGGTGTCAGAGAAGCTAGTACCCTTAACCACTGAGCCATCTCTCCAGTCCCACACACACATACAGAGAGAGAGAGAGAGAGAGAGAGAGAGAGAGAGAGAGAGAGAGAGAGAGAGAGAGAGAGAGATTTTTTTAAAGACCAGTTTCTCATTGATCCTGGAATATACCAGTTTGTTGCTGATTAGTCAATAATTAAAACACTGATTGGCCATTGGCTAGGCAGGAAGTGTAGGCGGGACAAGGAGGAGAATAAAGCTGGGAAGTGGAAGGCTGAGTCAGAGAGACACTGCCAGCCGCCACGATGAGAAACAGCATGTGAGGATGCCGGTAAGCCACGAGCCATGTGGCAAGGTATAGGTTAATGGAAATGAATTAATTTAAGTTGTAAGAACAGTTAGCAAGAAGCCTGCCACGGCCATACAGTTTGTAACCAATACAAGTCTCTGTGTTTACTTGGTTGGGTCTGAGAGGCTGTGGAACTGGCAGGTGAGAGAGATTTGTCCTGACTGTGGGCCAGGCAGGAAAACTCTACCTACACCAGTTGTTATAGACTGCCTGGCTATGGAACCCCTAAAATTCTTCTATGCCTCCACAGTGCTGTGATTACAGGCATGTGACATTTTACATGGAGTCTGAGGATGGAACTCAAATGCTCATGCTTGCATCTATCTTTTGCCTCTGGGCTTTTCCCATTTTCTTACTTCTGTAAATCTTACTCTTACTCTGTGGCTTGCTGTGTAGTTGGGTGGCTGGCCCCTGATGTCCTCCTCCTTCTCTGACTCCTAGATCTTCAATCCCTCTTCCCAGATTTTTTTCTTCTATATCTACTCTCTGCCTGCCAACCCCGCCTATCCTTTTTCCTGCCTTGCTATTGGCCGGTTCTTTATTAGACCATCAGGTGTTTTACACAGACACAGTAACACAGCTTCACAGAGTTAAACAAATGCAGCATAAACAAAAGTAACACACCTTAAAATAATATTCTACTACCGTCAGGCCAGCCTCCATCCTGTCTTAAGGGAAACAGGCCTCTGCTGCTGTGATAGAAGCAGATCAAGAGGTTCCTTCTCTTCCTGGCTCCTGGGAGTTTTTAGTGTGACTGTTAGAATTGCCCGGTAAGCTGGAATTTTTCCAGCCTGCTCCTGCAGACTACCACATTCCTCCTGCACAGTCTAAGAGGCTCCCCACATCCTCAGTTGTTGCCACAGCAACCCCACTTGGTGCCAGCTTTCTGTGTCAGTTGACTTCTGGAATGATAGCAAACATCCAAGGAACCAGCTTAGAGGGCTCCGAGTTACAGAGATTGCTTTTAGTCTGTGGTGAAGTGGCAAATCATGATGGCAACATGGGTGTAATGAAAGCTGCTCACAGGATAGCCACCAACAAAATCAAAACAAACCCAGGAAGAGTCTGTATCCCATGGTTCCTTTTAAGGGTGTGTCTTCCACTGGGTCCTCCTCCTTTAACATTCTACCACCTAATAGTGCCACAGGTACCAAGCCACACAGCTCCTTGAGGTGATTGAACCAACCACAACATTTTGATTGAGGGTACATGTGGTTTTTTTGTTTTGTTGTTTCCCCCATCCCTGTTTAGCATGCTGAAATAGTAAATTAAAATTATTTTCAAATGCTGAACTAGCATTTTATTCCTAGAACAAATCCTCACTTGGCTGTGTATAGTAATTAATATTTTTATGTCTTGCTAGATTTAGCTTGCAAATAACCTGTGGAAGAACTTTGTATCTATGTTCATGACAGACATTAGTGTAGTATGCTTTCCCTAGTCCCTTCCTCTCTCCTGCTCCTCACCTATCTTCTTTCAACAAGGTCTGGCTGTGTAGCCCAGGCTAGCCCAGATCATCTTATCTCTGCCTCCTGAGTGCCAGGACTGTGGGTGAGTGCCAGCGACCATGCCCAGCTTTAGTGTGTTTGATTTTTGTGCTGTTTTTGTCTTGATGGTAGAAAGGCAATGCTGACCTCCTGAGTTGAGGCATTTCTTCCTCTTGTGTTTTCTGGAAGATGGTTTGTAGATTTGTTTGCTTCCCTCTGTCTTCTACTTGTATCTCTTGTGCTAGGGATGGAATCCTGGGCCTCATGCATGCTCGGCAAGCGCTGGTCCGTGCCTCTGGATCTGCCGAGTTTTCTTCTTTAGAGTGTTTGTGCTTCATTGACTTTGCTAATAGCCAGTTCTGTTCTGTTACCAGCTTTGGAGGTTGGGGGCAGTAAGAGTTGTTTTATTTTGTCTGCTTGTGGAGTGGGTGTCTGAGATCTCTAGTGCTCTTTTATTCCTGATGAAGAGCATTTTCTGTCTTCTTTTATCTTTGTTTAGCAGGAGGTTTTATGAATTTTTTCAATCTTCCCGAAGGACTAACATCTGGTTTTTATTTTCTCTATTTTCAAGTTGTTTCTGATATTATCTTTATTGTTTCCTTCCTAGTGCTTCCTCGGTGTTCAGTTTGCGCTCTCTCTCTCTCTCTTCCTCTCTCTCTCTCTCTTTCTCTTCCTCTCTTCCTCCCTCCCTCTCCCTCTCCATCCCTCCCTCTCTCCATCCCTCCCTCTTCTCATTCTTATTTTTTCATGCAGCTTAGCTTGTACAGTGGAAATCTCTCTCCAGTAGAAGCACTAACACACAAATCCTGACGTTGTCTTCATTTTTATTCCACTCCTAACACTTTCTAGTGTCCTTGGAGAGACTGTTTCTACAGGTCCATTTCCCAGGTAACTGTGCTTTCCAGCTGCCTTGCTTTCACAGTAGCTACCCTCTCAACTGCAGTTTCATTTCCCATAGTTTAGTTTTCCAAGTTCTACTGTGGTATAAAAATATTACATAGAAAATTCCAGAAAGAGATAGCTTGTAAGTTTTCAGTTGTATGGTTTCCCAAATAGTGGAGTGAAGTCCTACAGGTTCCCAGAGTTGCATGCCCAGCCCAGCTGGTGACCTTGGTGGCCCATTAGGAGCTGCTCTGTGTATAGCTCTGTCTGGTGAGCGTAGGTGTTGAAATGCACTCCCCCCAGCCATGGCTGAGCTCCTCTGTCCTGCCCAGCTCTCGTGGCTCTCTGGCATCAGCCTGCCTGGGATCCTTGTGTTTGCTCCAACCTGCAGCTGTTGTTGAGTCGGCACATGCTGTGAGGGAGTCCCTTGCCTGTCCCTTCTCTGCTCTGAACATAGTGCAGTGAAGACAGCCTCCTCTCTGTCACCCTGTCAGTGAGGACCAGTGGGGTCCCATCTAAACACAGAGCATCATGGAGTCCCTATCTTAAACATGGAGTAGAAGAGGGTCTTGTCATAAACCCAAGATGGAGAGGGCTCCTTCGTAAGTGGAATCACTGTTTTTTCCATGAAAGTGATAAACACTTTCTGTAGCACAGATAGCTTCTTGACATCTCCTGTGGCCAGTGTAGGAAGGGCAGTTGAGGGACCACTTTCCCCACACATAGTTCTCAGGCACCAGGACAGAGGCATTTTGCTTTCATGTGAGAGAAGGCCAAGCTCCAGGGCTGTGCCTCTTGTCTTCTTGCTACTTCATTGTCATGTTGAGGACCTGTGGTAGCTCAGTGTGGAAGCAAAATTCCAGGCCTACCATTTGAGACCCAACCTAGACTTCTAGGGACTTATTTGTCTTGAATGTGAAGCAGTGCTGGGTAGCCAGTGCTGTTAATTAGTTTGTTTGAGACAGGGTCTCTCTATGCATACCTGGTTGCTCTGGAACTCACTGTGTGGATCAGGCTAGGCTCAAAGAGATCCATCTACCTCTGCCTCCCAAAGTGCCAGAATTAAAGGCATGTGCCATTTTAATTTAGACAGCTGCATGTTTACTGTGCTGCCCCACTGAGCAAGTACCATAGAGCAGGATCTAGGTAGAAAGCGATCAATATTTATAGATTGCCGTGGAGGTTTCTAGAAAGCTTGCCAAGGCAGGTGTGCATTCCACACCTTTGGTGCGCTTATTTGTCTTCAAGAGGTTGTTCAGGGGCTCATGTATGTGTATGTAGTGTGGTGAAGTGTGTGCACAGGTGTGGGTGGCACAGATGACTGCAGGAAGGTGTGCACTTACTTGGGAAGAAGTCAGACATGCAGAGTTCTGCAGAAGCCGACCCAGAGGCCATGTGCTCACTGTTTGGCAAATGTTCGTACAGCTGTTGTGGATCCTGGGCATGTCAACAGACTGTCGCTGAGTAGGCAACACTTGTCTCCATGTAGCTCAAAGACCATAGAGCAGAATGTTGAGGCGAATTCATGCCTGCTTCATGGAGGTGAAGCCAGGCCTGGAATGAGAGGCTGTCTTCCCACAGCTAAGCGCTGTGTTCTGTTGGTGCCAGCACCCTGGCCTTTGGAAACCTCCCTGTTCTTCAGTCTCACATGCTTGGCATTCAGATGTCTTTTCTCTAGCCCTCCCATCCAGCCCTACCTGTTGGTGCCCCTAACAGGAATGCTCAAAGGTAGCCGAAACAGGGCCAGACCTGCAGTTTTCTGGGCAGCTGCACAGCATACTATGAAGCATGCCACAAGGCTGAGCCCTGTGTCTTGCAGGTTATGTAGCCTGACCCTGAAGAAACTGGCAGTGCTCCGGGAGCTGGAGAAGGAGCTCCTGTCCGTGGTGATTGCTGTCAAGATGCAGGTAAGCCCTTACTGCACACCCACAAGTGTGGCCAGCCTCACTCTCACATGGTTCCTGGACTATTCTCAAAGACCCCCACCCTGCACTGAGCCACCCACCCAGAGCTTTCTTTCATGCCTCTCCCAGGGTGACAGGCTTGAGCAGGGACAGGAAGAGGAAACAGGACATGGGCTTTCTGGACCAGAACCTGCCCCAGTGTTCTGCCCACCCTTCATGGGTTCCTTGAGGAGCCTGTGACTGGGTGGGCTTGGATGCCACCCTTCTTGGGGAGAGCAGCCCTAGCTGTCCAGATGTGTCCACTAGCCCTTTGGCTGCCTTTGCTGTGCTGAGGACTGCCAGGCTCCAGTCCACTCTCAGTGGACAGGAGGTGGATTTTGACTCCTGGCTGCTCACATGGAACTCCTAGTGGCCCTCTACTGATGACCCTTCACAGGTGTGTGGTGTATGCAGGGCAGGTGTCAAGCAACCTCATACTGTGTGTTACTGACCTGTGACCCTTCGCCAGGGAGTACCTGGGTCCTGCTAAAGTAGCCCATGTTTGACCCCACTCATACTACCTGTGGCATTGGACACATTCTAAACCTGTTTTAACAGTTGTGCTGAGCCTTGGCCCTGGGTAAGACTTTCACCTGTCATTCAGGGTCTCCTCTGTCACACAGAACCCTCCCATCCATGCAGGACCCTCCCATTTTGCCCTGAGATGTGTGCTTGGAATTCAGAGAGGCCTGGCTTCTGTTTATGGTAAAGATGTGGGAGACACTCCTCCCTAGAGGTGCTGTGGGTTCTTGGCATCTAAACATGCAGGCTAGTCTCCACCTGCTTGGCTTTGTGCCAGATTGTGCCAGTATGTCATCTGTGCAGTTTGAATCTGTCTTAAACATCTGCTCTTCCTGTCCCTGTGGCAGTATGTTTTAAGTGGCATATCTTATTGGCTCCACACACCCATAGCTGTGCATTGTCCTTGCAGAGGCCATCAGTGGCCTGTGCTGAGCTTTGGTGACTGCTCCTTTGGCAGGAGCTGTTCTTGGTTTTCCCCCTTCCATTTCCTGGGCAAAACCTAGCACTGGAATCAGGTTTTAGGGGTCCTGGCAAACATTCCTGCTCACACACATACACAGACCTCATCCCCACCCATTGAGGCCTTTGTCATCATAGTTCAGAGTGCTGGTATAAGGATGCTCTTAGGCTGGTTCGCTTTAACATGCCCTAGATCAGAAGGGGTGTTTCCTTCCAGGGTTCCAAGCGTGTCCTGAGATCACACGAGATTGTGCTGCCTCCCAGTGGACAGGTGGAAACTGACCTGGCTCTGACCTTCTCTCTCCAGGTGAGTCTGACACCTGGGTAATGAGGACCCTCCCCTATCAGTGCTTTGGATGATGAACTCTTCCTCCTTGGTGCCCAGGATGATGGGCACACTCTGTTCAGTGCCCTGGAGGTGATGGACTCACTTCCTGCACAGTGCCCTGAGTGATAGACGTGCCCTGGTTAATTCCTTGGAGGTGAGGGACATGTTTCCTCATCAGTTCCCTGAGTGATGGAGACAAGATCAGTTCCTTGTCATGTCCTGGATGTTGGTCGGTCTCTCTCTCTCTCTCTCTCTCTCTCTCTCTCTCTCTCTCTCTCTCTCTCCCTTCCTTCCTTCCTTCCTTTCTTTTTCTTTCTTTCTTCTTCTTTTTTTTTTTTTCCTGAGACAGGGTTTCACTGTGTAGCTCTGACTGTCCTAGAACTCCCTCTGTAGACCAGGCTGGCCTCCAACTCACAGAGATCCACCTGCCTCTGCCTCCAAAGTGCTGGGATTAAAGGCGTGCGCCACCACCGCCCAACCAAGGTTTATTCTTTTTTTTTTTTTAAATGTATTTATTATGTATACAGTGTTCTGTCCACATGTATGTCTGTAGGCCAGAAGAGGGCTCATTACAGATGGTTGTGAGCCACCATGTGGGTGCTGGGAATTGAACTCAGGACCTCTGGAAGAACAGCCAGTGCTCTTAACCTCTGAGCCATCTCTCCAGCTCCCAAGGTTTATTCTTAAACGATTAGAAGTTTTTATTGATTTACCCTTCCCCCTCTCTCATAGTAAAGAAAATGGAATAGTGAGGTTTGTGTAAACTGTTTCATGCTGTGACAAAATGCCTGTCAGAGGCAAACTTAAGGAGGTTTCCGTCGGTTCGTGGTTTGAGCTGCAGTTCCTCATGGTGGGAAAGCCCAGGCAGCAGGAGCTTGAGGTAGCTGGTCACAATGCATCTGCAGTCAGGAAGCAGAGAGCAGTGATTGCGGATGCTCAGCTCTCTTCCTCCAGCCTAGAACCCAAGGAACTCCTTACATTTAGGGTAGGTCTTTCCACCTCAGTTACCCTAATCTAAGTAATCCCTCACAGGTATGTTCAAAGGATAGCCCAGTCTAGATACTCCTGACTGGAGCACACCAGGGCCTGTCTCCCAGGCGATTCTAGATCCTTCAAGGTGACAGTCAGTATTAAGCATCACAAGGATCAAATATATTATCAAGTCAGGGTTATTTTATTTTTTTGTTTAGCAAAGATTGGCAGGACTATATGGAAACTCAGTGTATTAAATTCAGAGTTTTCTGAGTGCCTTGTGGAGAATGTAGACTGTCAGTCAGATCATCTGCTTCTGAGTTTTGTGCACTACTGCAGCGAATCTAGTTTATTGAAGTGTAATTTACCAAATACACCCGTATCAGGTACATGGCTCCCATGGCTTCTGAGAAATGTGTGTGGATGACCAGCCTGCTTGGAGACTAAAGTTTAACCCTACTTCCAGAACTTACACCAGGCTCCAGTTGTGAGCTCTGAGAATCCTGTGGGAACTGCTTTCACTGAGTGAAGCCCCTGTCACAAGTGCAGGTTCTAGGCATGGGCAACCTACAGCAGATGGGACTGTTGCCTGGCAGTGTAGCCAGGGAGTGCACAGGAACTCACAGAAAGCACATGGTCACCCACAGAAGGCACCCAGATACTCCCACACATGGGAGACCACCAAAGACTTAGGGCCATGTTGGAAATGATGTACTGAGAAGCTGCCAGTCTCTTCAGATGTCCCTAAACATGTGAACCCATCTCAAAAACAGATAAGTTCCACTAGTGTGGAAGTGGAATCCCTGACACTAAGCAGAAGGTGGCCTCACTGACGTTGCAGATTCCTGAGGGCGGGCTGACGAAGGGCTGGAGGAGGCCTTAGCAGTGTCTGCAGGTGCTCTTTGGGGCCTGCTGACGGCGTGGTCTAATGTCTGTGCTGCGCCAGGCCTCAGGCAAGCTTTCTTGTGTCTGCAGTACCCCCACTTCCTGAAGAGAGAAGGCAACAAGCTCCAGATCATGCTGCAGCGCAGAAAGCGGTACAAGAACAGAACAATCCTGGGCTACAAAACGCTGGCTGCAGGCTCTATCAACATGGCTGAGGTGGGTGTCTGGGCTGGCGTCCAGGGCTCAGAACACTCGGAACAGATTTCTTTATGTGTCTGATAGACCATTCTGCAGGTCATCAGAGAATCCACAAGGTTGGGTTCCACTGTAATGGCAGGATGCCACTCTGTAGCTACTTCCCAGGTCCCCAGTCCTATGCTGCGCAGCATGGCTGCTCCTGCACCTGTAGCTAGGTGTACTCCACTTCCCAGAAGAGTGCTTGGAGCTGTCTGTCCTGGACTCCTTCCTTACACAGCTCCTCTGGTGCCCCCTTAGTCTTCACCCCGCCCTAGCAGCTCAGAAAGGACATCAGCTAGAGATTCCCATGTCTCCTGGAAGCCCTGTGTTCTGGGGAGACTGAGGAGACAAGGTGGGCTCCTAGGCAGATGAAGCCTCCAAGCTGAGCAGCTGGACCCCTATTAGCTACATGAATAGCCTGGGAGAAGAGGCTGCTCAGCATTGTCCACTTTGTCTCTACGCCATAGAGCTTTCCTCTTTTGGAGTTCCATTTAGTGTCTAGAGCAAGTGCAGCTGTGTTGGTGGCCACCTGAGGCTGGAAAGTTGGCTGCAAGCCAGATTGTGGCACTGCCTCCAACCTGAACTACCCAAGGCTTCTGGGCTGCTCAGCACCTACTCAGCTGCTTGTGCATTCAGGTGCCCCATCCTCTTCTTCCTCTGTTCTGGCCTAAGCACCCAATCCTGCTGCATCCTGTCTCTTGGAACTTCGCTTGTCCTCCTAGGCTGAGGCTTCCCTTCAATTTCCTAAGCTGGAGTGACCGTCCCAAAGGTGCACCTGCTGCAGCACCTATGTTTTAAAAACTTCATGCCTCCTGTGTCCTGTCACTCCTAAGGCTCCCCTCACTCACTGCAGTTCCCCAAAGCCCACTTCTCACCCTCTCCTACTACCCTCCTCTGTTTTTACTCTCTCCAGCTACCTTAACTTTGAAAATGAAGGAGGGAGTTAAGAGGAGTTGGCTCCCCAGGTTGACTTGGCTTCAGCCCCTTGTTGTGGTAACTCACTGTCACCAGCTCCTGGTGGGCCAGAGAGTTCCTGAGGACTGAGCTACAGAGGTGCTGAAGAGGGACCTGCTACTACCCAGGACTGTGCCTAGCCTGCCAGCACCAACCCAGGATGTTCCCAGAAGCCCAGCTTTAGCCAGGGGCCAGGAGTTTGGGGCCAGGGAAGTGAAAGGGAACATGAAGCAAAGGGCTGGCAGCAGAGCAGGGTTGAGATAGGCAAAAGCACCTTGGCTGGGCCTTGTCTGTGCCCATCTGCCTGGGGCCTACCTGGCCAAAAAGGTTCTTTGTAGGTGAAGCAACTGGTACAGAATATGCTTCTGACTCTCCTGGCAGGACCAACCTTTCTCAGGACATCCCAGAGAACAGTAGGCTACTTGTGGTCAGAGCAGGCATGCTGCCTACCCTCGCAGTATAGGAGGCCAGAGAGCAGGTTTTCTAGGTAAAGAGACTCCACCTTATCCTGGCTTATGCATCTCACACACACACACACACACACACACACACACCTCCCCCAATCTCCTGTTTCATACAAGCCTGGGTGTCCCTCAACCTCATTGTTCAAATCCTGGTGCTGCAAGGGGTCAGCTTCCTAAATAGATGTTAATGTCTGAACAGATTGCTATTCTCACTTAAATCTGAGGTTGCCCTTAGGGAGAGGACAAGCACTCAGTGCATCTGTAGAGTCAGGTGAGAGAGATTTTCCTCCATGTGTCCGCTATGTGCACTTGGCACATGAAGGTCCCAGTATTTGGTATGGAGCTGTGGGCCTGTCTTCCTGGTTTCTGAAATGTTGGTAAAAATAAATGTGAATGTCCTTAAAATTATTTTCTTCACTGATTAGAGTTGTCACCCTAAATCAGTTCCCAATTTAAAAAATTTGCCGGGCGGTGGTGGCGCACGCCTTTAATCCCAGCACTCGGGAGGCAGAGCCAGGTGGATCTCTGTGAGTTCGAGGCCAGCCTGGGCTACCAAGCGAGTCCCAGGAAAGGCGCAAAGCTACACAGAGAAACCCTGTCTCGAAAAACGAAAAAAAAAAAAAAAAAATTTACTATGTTTATTTATGTGTGTGTGTGTGTGTGTGTGTGTGTGTGTGTGTGTGTGTGTGTGTGTGATGAGTATGGAGGTCAGAGGACAATTTTGTGGCATTAGATTTTCTCCTTCCACCATGTGGCTGCTAGAGATTGAACTCAGGTCATTGCGTGGCAGCAATGCCTTTTCCCGCTGAGACATCTTTGCTGGCTCCAGGTACCAATTTTTTTTAATCTATAAAATTTTAACATTTGGGTCTGATCAAATGACCCCAGAGCAGCTGTGCATGTGCAGAGGCCCTGTCAGGGACAGGGCTGCCACTTGTCTCTGCTTTTGAGGCAGTGTCAGGGCCAGGACAATATCTAGGTCAGTACTGGTTCCTGCTGTCTTGAGTTTGTTACAACAGTTAGCCAGGGTCTTGGCCCTCCAGTGAGCCAGGCCTGGGCTTCTTGTGCCATTACAGACATGACCTATGTTGGTAGCTATTCTTCCTTGACTTCTGTACACGAGTCTTTAGACATCTGGTTTCCCAAGATTGGGTGATCCCCAGTCACACACTGTGGCTGCTGCTGAGGTTCCCAGGCTGGAACAGTAGATAGATGTGAGTGGGGGTCAGGAACTATTTAAGTGACTTCCAAGGGGGGGCATGGGTGCCAGAATTGGGTGATCTGTAGATACACTCCTCTGTCTGCTTGTAATCAGAGAAATACCAAGCCTGGCACTGACCGACCCACTCAGCCAATCTACTTGGTCCCTGGACTTCCTCTGGTTTCCTGCTCAGCCTTCTACTAGGTGTCTGTTGCTTCTGAATATTGGAGCTCTCTGGGATGGTAGCCCTCCTGATGCCTAGAACCATGCCCCCCAGGTAATGCAGCACCCCTCCGAGGGTGGCCAGGTGCTGAGCCTCTGCAGCAGCATCAAAGAGGCCTCTGTCAAGGTGGCTGAGATCTGGATCGTCTCCCTGTCCAGCCAGCCCATCGACCATGAGGATAGTGCAATGCAGGCTGGCCCCAAGGCCAAATCCACAGGTGAGTCACTGTGCCTTCTTCCTCTGCCTTCCTCTGCTCATGCCACTTCCTGCCCACATGTGTAGGAGGGCTGTCCCAGGGTGGTTGGAGAAGGCAGGGTGGGATGTGATGTGTCTATTGGATTTCTTTCTAGTTAGAAACTTTTGGGGAAGTCATGTGCTGTTGAAGTTCTGTCATAAGTTCTGTGTACCTACAATATGTAGGTGTCACGGGGGTCTGTCATGCAGTACCTTTGATGCTCTGAGCACCCAGGTTCTGGTATGGGGCAGGTACTCTGCAACCATCATCTGCTGCTACTATCACAACTGGGGTCACTGTATTTCCCCTGCTCTCTTGCTCCACCAACCCCACAGCCATGTGGCCTGCTGTCCTTAGACTCTTGGTGCTCAGGGCCACAGCACTGGTGTCTCAAGTTCCCCTGGTCTACCTGGGGCTGTCACCTTATAGCTCCCCTTTGCTCCCAGGGGACGTTCTGTTGCCAATTCATTGCCATGGCATCAGGTGGAATCTAAAGGTACTCTTCCTTCTGTGTGCTCATTCCGCAGATAACTACTCTGAGGAGGAGTATGAGAGCTTTTCCTCTGAGCAAGAAGCCAGTGATGATGCTGTACAAGGGCAGGTAACAATTTGAGCCTGAGGTGGGAGAGGCCCCTGACATCTTCCATTTCCATCTCTATAGATAAGCGGCTTGGGACTGAAGGGGACTTCCCTGTGCTAGCCCATATGAGGTCTGTGGGTCTCAAGTGCCACATGGGATGAGAAGGGCAGAGGAGCTGATGTGTGGCACCTGGTTGCTTCCTCCCTGGGGCTAGGACATGTCAGTGGGCAGCCCTGCAAGGCTTGGGAGTGTTAGTCGCTGATGCCGGGTGATGGCCTCCGTCACACTGCCATGGGGTGGGCCTGCTGTCCTGGTGCTGTGGCCTCAGGCACTGTGCATGTCTACACAGGATCTTGATGAGGATGACTTTGATGTGGGAAAACCCAAGAAGCAGCGGCGCTCGATAGTAAGAACGACGTCCATGACCAGGGTCGGTGGAAACTAGTTTTACTAACACTGGGGAAGGGCAAGGAGGGTGGGCAATGGCTGGGAGGCTCACTGGGAGGCTGTGGGCAAGAGGACAGATGGCCTCACATGACATATGGCCCAAAAGATTCTTAGAATTCCCACTTGCCCTCAGGGCAGAATCCTGTCTAGCTAGCACCTGGCTGGTTTTAGTCAAAATAGACATAATAAGCCAGACAGGGCTGTCTTCTGGCCGCCATTCTCTCACACCCCACTCCAACTTTATATGGTCATCGAGCCCTGGGGTCTGGAATCAGGCTGGGATAGCTGCCTCAAGCCCACAAACCTACGTGTATAGGCTATTGAGGCTGATGTTTTCTCCATCACCACAGCACTCAGACTCACCATGTGTGGGACCAGTTCCTTTTTGGGGGAACAAGACTGGTTTGCCAGCATAGAGACTTGACTGTTAGGCCTTTCTCACAGGAGGAAACATGGAATAGGCTTCAGCCTATTCTTAGCCTGCACAGTGACTATCAGTGGGCCCTGGGGCCCGGAACTAGGCTGCAGGACTGGCTGGCATGGGTAGCCCCTTCCCAATACTGACCAGGGACAGCACTGTCAGCCTTTGACAGATGTGAAAAGGAGGTTGTGGGCAAACAGTGGCCACAGGACAAAAGCCACTCTGGATACAAACTGGGTCTTCCCTGAATACAGGCAGCACCATCTGGAGCTCTTGGGCCAGCCTGAGGGACCATGCAGGAAGCATCCTCCCTGTTAGGGTCAGCTCTGTGAGGGTGGCTGAGAGTCCCCGGAGAACAGTGGCTGGAGCAGAGGCACTGCAGCCAACAGTGTGAGCAGCTTCACTGGACTCATAGCACACAGGTTCCACGGTGTCATCCACCCTGTGCTCTCCTGACTGCCTCCCACAGGGCGGCAGTCTCCTTCTGAAGATGAGGTCAGGGCCTTTCCTGGGAGGTGCAGCTGTGGGAAGGTGCTGGAGAGCCTGGATAGAGCTGCAGAGGCTTCTAGAACTGCAGAGCCACCCTGTGCCCTTCCCTGGTTGCCCCTCAGTGGGTGTGGACTATCAGCACCCCCCTTCCCCCATGTTTCTGAGTCTGGCCTCAGTTTGTGCTTTCAAACACTAAGAATGTTCACGTGGTGTTTATGCCCAGTTTACACTTTCATAGATGTGAGCTGTGTCCCCTCCTGTCCCTCATTGAGAGTCCAGAGTGCAGTTCCTTGCTATGTCCCAGGAATGTAGCCCCTCTCCCCCTCATGCCTAATGTGAGATTCTTGTACTTCTTGTCTTACAGCAACAGAACTTCAAGCAGAAGGTGGTGGCGCTACTGCGCAGGTTTAAAGTGTCAGAGGAGGTGAGTAGGCCAGGGCTCTGCACAGCTGCTGCAGCGCCCTGGTGTCATGCTGGGCAGGGTGTGCTCCAGCAAGCTCCAGGCCAGGTCTGGCTCTGCACTTACCATCTGTGGGTACTGCCCTCTGCCTGCCAGCCTGGATGGTGCACCTGTAGTAGGACAAGCAGAGGGCTAATCATTGGTTCTTATAAATAGACTATTTGGGGGAGCAGTTTCAGGTTCATAGAAAAAGTAAGTAGAAAGTACAGAGTTTCCCATACCCCAGCTCCTGCCATGCACAGCCTGTTCTGTAGCCAACATGCCACGAATGTTGGTTTGTTAGCTTTTCTCTAATCCCCAGTCTTGGGTATTGAGTTTGTTCATCAAAAGAAAAATCATAAAACAGAGTCAAGAGTATAGTGTCCCCATAGTAGAGAGAGGACACTTGAATGTTTGTCCTCAAAGTGTGCACCCACCCTTTGCATCCATTTATGCAAGGGCCACACCCCATAGCAGCAGAGTCCCAATCCAGCCCTAGCACCAACATTTAGCAGTTGCTCTTCACATGTGCAGGTATTGAGGGTGGCTCTTCTCAGCCATGGGGCTTTCTGTGGGGCCAGCATCCACTCTGAAACATCACCAGCATGATTCAGTGGAATGGCCTCTAGGACCTAAATCTTGAAGCTTGCATCTCATAGCGAGACAGACTCAGCCTAGTTGAAAGTGTGCACGTAGCAAGGAAGCTGCCTGGCCTAGGACTGTGCAGGCTTTTAGGTTGAGGAAATTGGATCATAACCTCGGAGTTTCATGTTTACCAAGCAATAGGGCTGCGTCTCAAAATAAACCTGTCATACTCGGCTTTTGTTCTGGCTTCTGAGACTCAGCCTAAACTCTGGAAAGTTTAGCCAACATCCTGGACATTGGTCAGGGAAAGAACGTTTTTATTTTGATAGGAATAATCTCCCACGTTTGTGAAGAATTCATGCAAGTTATCAAGCCATGTGATTTGTTCCATATCTGTTTTGTACTGTTCCCGTTCATGTGAGAAGACCATCTAGCCAGAACTCCACCATGTGTCTCCACACCCCTTGTTACTAGGAGTTATGCACAGGCACTGACTCCCACTCACAACCCACATCCTGGAATGTGTGCTCACCTGTGTGGGACTGTAGACCAAAATACAGACAGGGCTGGAGAGACAGCTCAGCAGTAAGAGCACTGGCTGACTGCTCTTCCAGAAGATCTAAGTTCAATTTCTAGCACACACATGATAACTTGTAAGCCATCTATAACTCCAGAGAATCCAGTGCCTCCTTCTGGCCTCTACCAACACCAGGCACACATGTGGTCCACAAACAGATATACAAGCAAAATACCCATACACATAAAATAATAATAATTAAAAAAGAAAATGGCAGGTGAGTTGCATATATATGTATATGTGTGTGTGTGTGTGTGTGTGTGTGTGTGTGTATACATGTATATGTATTTTTTTTTCTTTAAAGTACATCCAAAGAATGCTGTTAATAGTTGGAGACTGAAAAGCCAAAGGTGCTGGCAGATTCTCATCTGGAGAGGACTAGATCTTCATAGACAGTGCTGCATCTTCACATCCTCACACAGTGGATGGGAACAGCGCTATTCCAAAGGCCTGCCTCTTACTGAATCACCTTGGGGTTAGGTTTCAACATAAGAATTTTAGGGAAGCTAGGTAGTGGTGGTACACAGCTTTAATCCCAGCTATCTGGAGGCAGAGGCAGGCAGCTCTCTCAGTCAAGGCCAGCCTGGTCTACAGAGCAAGTTCCAGCACAAAAAAATTTTAGGGAACACAAATATTCATATTAAAACATTCTGCCCCTAGACCCCAAAATTCATTTCCTTCCCTCACACAAAATATGTTCATTCTAGCCCTTAAAATCTTAATTCACTCTAGCATCAACTCAGATTCCTTTTGTTTGTTTGTTTGTTTTTGTTTTTGGAGACAGGGTTTCTCTGTGTAGCTTTGGAGCCTGTCCTGGAACTCACCCTGTAGATCCACCTGCCTCTGCCTCCCTAGTGCTAAGATTAAAGGCTTGCACCACCACTGCCTGGCCAACTCAAATTCTTAAAAACTAGAGTGTCCCAGTACTGTCTACATCACTACAGGTCCAAGTGTGAGCATAAAATCAAATTATATGCTTTCAAGGTAAATTATGAGACCAGCACAAGGCAGATACTCTGTTCTAAGAGGAGAAAGGGGGAGTAGGGTAAATGCTCCCTAGTAAGTCCAGAACCCAGCAGGGCAAAATTTTTTGTACATTTATTTTATCTATTTGTTTGGGATGTGTGTGTGTGTGTGTGTGTGTGTGTGTGTGTGTGTGTGTGTGTGTGTGTGTGTGTGTGTGTGTAGAGGTCAGAAGACAACTTGCTGGAGTCTGTTTTCTCATTCCACCATTTGAGACACAGGGATCAAACTTAGGTCCTTAGACTTGGTAGAAATTTCCTTTACTCTCACTTGCCTCTAACACTGTATCTTAAGAAAGAAAAAAAAAAGGATTGATTTATTTTATAGGTATGAGTGTTTTGCCTGTATGTATATATGTGCACTACATGCATATCTGGTACCTACGGAGGTCAGAAGAGGGCATCAGATCCCCTGGAACTGGAGTTACAGATGGTTGGGAACTGCCATATGGGTGCTGGGAACTGAACTCCATTCCTCTACAAGGGCAGCCAGTGCTCTGAACTGCTGAGCCATCTTTCCATTCCCCAGACATTGAATCTTAAGGCTAGAAAACCCTTCTTTGTTTCAATAGTCTGCTCTCAGGACACATGGAGCGGGGTCTCTAGGACCTGGCAGTACATCCACAGTGTCACTGGGTGTAGCCTGCAGTGTCTCAGATAGCAGCTGTGTGCCTTATGGCTTTCCTGGGCTGCCACTGTGGCCAGAGACTGCAGTTCTGCCTCTCAGAGCACTCCACTGCCGTGGCTTCTCTGTTCTTTACTGGAAAGGGTCCTTTTAGACATGGCCCTGATTCCATCTCAGGCCTCTGCTGGGATAGCACATCCTGTGGCAGCCAATTTAAAATGACCGTATTTCTGCAAACTTTGAGAATTGGCACCTCTTGGTGCTGCAGAGATTGGCCTCGGTGCTGTCTGAGGGACCGTGGCTATTGCCTGACCACAGCTTTGTGCCTCAGGAGCAACTACTTGAAACCATGCTGCCCTCAGGACCTCAGCATGGAAGCATCTTTGGGTCATCTCCCCTCATCTTGTTGAGTAGGTCCTCACTCCCTCTGTGCATATTGCTCTCTTCAAACTTCTTGTGGCCAAACATACTTAATTTTTAAAAAATACTTTATTTTTGTGTGCATATGTGCACATCTGTGTGGGTGTTTGTGCACATGACTGCAGTGCCCATAGAGGACAGAAAGGGACATTGGATTCCCTGAGCTGTAGTTATAAAGCGTTATGAGCTGCCTGACTTGAGTGCTGGGAGCTGAACTCTGGTTCTCTGTAAGAGCAGCACACACACACTATAAACCACTGAGCCATTTCTCCAGTTCCTACTTCCACTCTACAACCTGGTCTAGCTGGGACTTTTCCAAATCTGTAAGATCTAGTTGTCTTTTGATTTTTACCTCATTTCCCCCCTTGCTTTTTTTTTTTTTTTTTTGGTTTTTCGAGACAGGGTTTCTCTGTGTAGTTTTGCGACTTTCCTGGAACTCACTTGGTAGCCCAGGCTGGCCTCGAACTCACAGAGATCCGCCTGGCTCTGCCTCCCGAGTGCTGGGATTAAAGGCGTGCGCCTCGAGAGAGAGGTACCGTAGCTCCCTCCAAATTGGAGGTTTATTTTGCCAGATACCCTGTTCTGTCATTTACAAGTTCTGTCTTCCATAAAATACCCAGACCCAGACCCTGTAAATCTACCAAGCTTTTTCTTCTTTGTCATAGATGATCTTTCCTCCAGGTCCCAGAACCATATTTTTTCATTTTGGGTCTGCTTTATTTTTACCAACATCCTGTTCCATCACCACATACAGTGGCTCCCTGCTCCTCTGTGCTGGTTACTGCCTTCTTCTAGGGCTGATCATCTTAGACTGGGTAATGGAGAAGCCAACATTTCTTGTTCATGGTTCTGGAGGCTGGAAGTCCAATATTAAGGCTCAGCAGATTCAGAGTCTGGAAAAGACCTATTCTTCAAAGATGGTGTGTGTGCATTCATACGTATGTTTGTGTGTGTGTGTGTGTGTGTGTGTGTGTGTGTCCATCCTCACATTGGGGACAGAAGGAGCCCATTCCCCCCAGCCCTTTTTCTGTGGTCACTAATTTTCATGAGAGCTCCACCCTCACGCTTGAATCACTTCCTAGAGTACCTTCAACATGAAACTTGGGAGTTTCTCTTGATAGATATATCCTGACACCATCTCTATGGGAAACACCTTCAGACTGAGCACAGCTTTGATCAGGGTTTGCCTGGGGGAACAAAAACATGACTCTACCAGGCCAAGAGGACTTTCTGGGAGAGAAGAGCCTCATGTCTTGGTTGAGAGGATGATTACAGGGTCTGACGTGTTGTCCAAGTGTGACTGCCTGTGTGCTTCACAAGATGTGAGCACTGTGTTCTGACACACCCTGGACAAGCCTGTCCACATAGGAGGGTGATCACACCCTGAGTCCACCTGAGGTCCTTGTGAGATGATCCCAGTTCCTAAATCAGAGTAGTCAAGAAAAGGGGTTGGGGAAATGGCGGCTCCGTGAGTCAGGCGCTTCCTGCACAAGCGCGAGGACCTGAGTTTTGTTTGTTTGTTTGTTTGTTATCTTTCGAGACAAGATTTCTCTGTGTAGCCCTGGCTGTTCTGGAACTTACTCTGTAGACCAGGCTGCCCTTGAACTCACAGAGATCCACCTGCCTCTGCCTTCTAAGTGCTGGGATTAAAGGCGTGTGCTACCACCGCTCGGCTTCAGGTTCAGCAAGAAACCCAATCTCAAAAAATAAGGCACAAAGAGGTGGAAGGATTTTTTTGTTTGTGTTTTGTTTTTTTGAAGGGAGTTTCTCTGTGTAGCCCTGGCCAACCTGGAATTTGCTTTGTAAACCAGGCTGGCCTTGAACTCAAAGATTCTCCTACCTCTGCTTCATGAGTGCTGGAACCAAAGGCATGCGCCACTACACCTGGCTTAGAGGAAAATATTTGACATTAGCTTCTATCCTGTGAACACACACACAGAGAGAAAAGAAAAAGAAAAAAGCAATCAAAATGGGATGTTTGGCAATAAGTGTAGTTCTGTGGCCTTGTCTGTCCTCTTGGTCTTGTTCCTGCACACCCGCCTTTGTTAGCCTTCAGCTACTAGCCAGACAGTGGCACAGGCCCCTCTGGGGCTTTCACATGTCAGCATTGCTGTAGGTCCTAGATTCGGAGCAGGACCCTGCAGAACATGTTCCTGAGGTGGAGGAGGACCTGGATCTTCTGTATGACACACTGGACGTGGAGAACCCCAGCGACAGTGGCCCTGACATGGACGATGATGACAGTGTCCTTAGCACCCCCAAGCCCAAGCTAAGGTAAGCCACGCCAGGTTGAAACTGCCACTTCTTTTTTAGTTTGTTTGTTTTTCTTTTTTTTTTATTAATTTCATTTATTTATTTATTTATTATGTATACAGTGTTCTGTTTGCATGTATCCCTGCATGCTAGAAGAGGGTGCCAGATCTCATTACAGATGGTTGTGAGCCACCATATGGGTGCTGGGAATTGAACTCAGGACCTCTGGAAGAACAGCCAGTGTTCTTAACCACTGAGCCATCTCTCCAGCCCTTGTTTGTTTTTCGAGACAGGGTTTCTCTGTGTAGCTTTGGTTCCTGTCCTGGATCTCGCTCTGTCGACCAGGCTGGCCTCGAACTCACAGAGATCTGCCTGGCTCTGCCTCCCGAGTGCTGGGATTAAAGGCGTGTACCACCGCTGCCCAGTTTGAAACTGTCACTTGTAATCAGCTTGAGTCTAGACAGAAGGAATTCTGAGTGGCCTGGCAGTATTGTTCTGGAATGGTTTGGGTTGGTTGAGTTGCCCTGTGATTGTGACCCATGTTTAACCCTGGGGAACCACGGGCTTGGACAGTTCTCACAGCGTAGACCAGCAGGGACATCCTGAGAGGAGGCAACATGAGGTGAGTCTAAGGTCATAGTGGATGGACAGAGCCAGGTAGCTTTTTCCCAATGACCCAAAGAAAAGGATACCTTTGTAGAAAGACAGATGAGGGAGGATGTAACTACTCCTGATCCACTGTAACTTGGTCCATAATCTTTTCATATGGTGGAGTATTTCTCAGGGTGAGTGGTAACCATATAAACAGACCACGGTGCTTGCATGTGCATTGGGAACAACAGACAGGCAGAACCATCTGGAGGTGGCAAGGGGGAGCGTCTAGGAAGGTTCTCTGTGAGGCCAGAGCTTGGTCCTTGAGGCAGGCTGTGGAGGAATGAATGGCCCCAGGGTACCCCCACTGTCCTCGGGTTTGAGGTATACTGGAAACTGCAAGGGTCTACTATACAGGCAGCAGAGGAGAGGCCCCAGCCAGCGCCCCTCCTTGGTTTGGCTGGGAGGACATCTGGCCAAGTCTGGCCTAGGGCAGAAAGAGAAGAAGGAAAACAGGCCAGTCCACACACATGTAATGTGTACATGTGTGACCTGGAGAGGCTTAGCCCTCAGGACAGGTAGTATATAGACTTGGGTCTTGGTGTAGCTACTGAGAACAGGGAAGCTCAGGATGTCCCAAAAAGTTACAGACCCTTTGTTTTTTAAGTTTTTAACTTGGACAGTAGAGAGAAGCACACACAAGAAATTTGGGTTCCTTATATCTTGCAATTAATTAATCATAATTCTTAGTGCTGAGTAATTATTCATTACTGCTGGGCTTGGTTGCGCATGCCTGTAATCTTAGCATTTCTGAGACTGAGGCAGGAGGAATACTAAGTTTAAGGGCAGCTTGGGCTATAGAATGGGACATGGGCCAATCAATCAATCAATCAATAAGTTCCAGCATCTCTTATGCTCTCCATTCTGGGGTGGCATCCTCAGGCCTTGGCTTCTTTTTCTACCTATGTCTTGCTGGGCTCAGGGCAGGGTGTTGAACTGCTGGCATGGGGGATGCCCTTTAGGTCAAGCAAGCTAGTGTTCCTTGTCCTCCTCCACTTTAGTACCCCTTATGCTCAACACTGGTCCTTCCTGCATAGTATCTTATATTTTAGGGTTGAGTGTGTTCTCTGCTGTAGTGACTTCTGGGCTCACATTGGGTCCACCCAGAGAGTCCAGATCCTCCCCATCATGAACCCCAGGACATTAACTATAGTGACATAGTGTAGCTTAGAGTTTTCCTGCCTGGCCCACGGTCAGGACAAATCTCTCTCACCTGCCAGTCCCACAGCCGCTCAAACCCGACCAAGTAAACACAGAGACTTATATTGGTTACAAACTGTATGGCCGTGGCAGGCTTCTTGCTAACTGTTCTTACAGCTTAAATTAATCCATTCCCATTAATCTATACCTTGCCACATGGCTTGTGGCTTACCAGCATCTTCACATGCTGTTTGTCATCATGGCGGCTGGCAGTGTCTCTCTGACTCAGCCTTCCACTTCCCAGCTTTATTCTCCTCCTTGTCCCGCCTACACTTCCTGCCTAGCCACTGGCCAATCAGTGTTTTATTTATTGACTAATCAGCAACACATTTGCCATACAGAACATCCCACAGCAACATAGTCCCTGGCCAGCTAATGCCTGTAGTTCTGGAGTGATGTGTGATCACTTTGGGGCTGTAATCCTGAGTGGCCATGCACAGGTGACACCCTGCATCTCTAGATCTCTACATAGCTTCATCACCCACATGGCCGTGCAGGTATCCTGTCTGTCTCAACTTGACTTCTTTAACATCTCTTGGCTTTCTGCTTTCCTTGACTCCTGTTTATTCACTCACACTTTATCTTGCTGAAGACAGATGCATTGGTCTGGATTGGCAAGAGTTGGCCTGGCTGGTCTAGAGTTATGGCTATTCTAGATTAGTCTGAAATGGCTTTGTTAGGCTTGGTCTGTTGTGGCCTAGGGGGTGTTAAATCATCTATTGGTCTGGAATAGTCTGACTATGTCTAGGAAGGCTTAGAGTTCTGGTCCTGTCCATGGTGCTTTTGTGCTGTTGAGAATGTTCTTCTGGTTTCTGTGATCTGGGTACAGAGCTCAAGGTTCTCAACAGGGGCAACCCCCATTCAGAGCACTGAGATACCCTGTGCTGACACCCAGTCTCCTTATGTTACACCACGAGCAGATGGGGTCTCCTCCTCCTCCTCCTTCTCCTCCTCCCCCTTCCTCTTCCTCTCCTTCTCCTTCTCCTTCTCCCTCTCCCTCCTCCTCTTCTTCCTCCTCCTCCTCTTCTTCCTCCTCCTCCTCTTCTTCCTCCTCCTCCTCTTCTTCCTCTTCCTCCTTTTCTACTTCCTCCTCCTCCTTTTCTTCTTCCTCCTTCTCCTCTTCTTCTTCCTCCTCCTCTTCTTCCTCTTCCTCCTTTTCTACTTCCTCCTCCTCCTTTTCGTCTTTCTTCTTCCTTCCTCTTCATCATCATCATCATCATCATCAAGACAGGGTTTCTCTGTGTAGTAATCCTGGCTGTCCTGGAACTCGCTTTATAGACCAGGCTGGCCTCAAATTCACAGAGATCCTCCTGCCTCAGCCTTCCAAGTGCTGGGATTAAAGGTGTGCACTACCACCACCTGGCTGATTTTCTTATTCTTTTCTTCTTTTTTAAATTTAAATTTTATTATGGGAGGTGACATGCCTGTGCCACAGCATATGTGTGGATGTCAGAGGACAAATCGGTAGGGTTATGTCTCTCCTTCCCACTGTGTGGGTCCCAAGGATCAAACTCAGGTCTTCAGGCTTGGCAGCAGGTGCCTTTACCCATGGAGCCATCTCACCAGCCCTGGAATACATGTTTTCTGCAACTGACTTCATAGCCAGTGCAGGAGCTGTGCCTGCCTGGAGTTCAGTCACTCCAGAATCCTACTATGTGTGTGAAGTCCCCTCGGGAGTGGATGTGTAGTCACACAGTTCTTCCACACGGCCTGCTGTTGAGTTCCACGCTGCTTTCCCTTCTTTGTGTAGTGTGTGTAGTGGGATCTTGGGAAATAACATCTGCTCCTTCTTCATCCAGGCCATACTTCGAAGGCCTGTCACACTCCAGCTCACAGACAGAGATAGGGAGCATCCACAGTGCCCGGAGCCACAGGGAGCCTCCAAGCCCGGTGAGTAGGGCCATGCTGTGCAGTGGTAAGACCCTTAGACCGGGCTGGGCATTCTCATGTGTCCTGGGCTCAGGGTTCTGCCCAGTAGAAGGTGATTCTTCTAATGTAATCCTGAGTTCATGGTCTGTGAAATTCCAAGCTAGTCTCCCTGGGCTCCCCATCCAGAAGTAGACATCCTCGTTCTGTAGCACAGCCCAATTCCTGTCTCATCACCTGCAGGCTGATGTACCTGAGAAGATGAGATCCCTGGGAGGCCAGCAGCCAAGTGACAGCATCTCTGACACGGTAGCCCTTGTAAGCAAGCATGGGGAGCATTCACCATGTGCAGCAGACTCAAGTGTACAGTGAACTTCACATGGAAGATGTGTGCACCACCCTCAGGGATGACCAGGCTGCCTGGTGATCAGGGCACCCTTGGTTCACCCTTCTTGGATATTGACTGGGTAGCTCAAGTGATGGCTGTGTCCCTAGCCTTGCTGTCAGACCCAGGCCCTCATGGAATCTCTCAGATATGGTGCAGGGTGGGTGGGTGCTGGTCCCTTAGTAATAGTTGGACCAGGAGCTACTTGTAGGAGAAGAGTACCTCTCCTCTTGCCTCCATGTGACTGTGCCTTATGCAAGACCTTAGGTCAGAGGACGCCCAGAGCCTTACCCTAAACCACGGGCACATGCATTGGAGAGGCATGATAAATGTTTCTGGCTGGTGGGTGCATATGGCTCCTTCTCAATCCATCAGAGTTCACCAGCCCCTCGGGAGGCATCAGGGCAACCTGATGATAGTCCAGAGGCTGAGACGTCTACCCTGGATGTGTTCACTGAGAAGCTGCCACCCAGCGGAAGAATCACCAAGACTGAGTCTCTTGTCATCCCCTCCACCAGGTGTGGGCCTGTGCTGAGGGACTATGTACCCCTTTGGGGAAGGGTTGTGGGAAGCCAACTATTTGGGCCAACTCCAGAAACTGCATGTGGGTCCCCTACTCCATCTGTCAATAGCAGCTGACTCTGGCCATCTGCTGGCCTGCGACTCTAAGGCCAGTGTGCCCAAGAAGTGCCACCTTCCATTCTGCTATTCTTGGAAATGAAACTGCTGAGGGCTCAGGGTGCTAGGGAGATTGCAATGTCACATCACAGGGGTCTGCTGGGTGGGGGGGGTGGCAGCTGTTGTGGGACAATTCAGTGTGCGACCTGCAGTGAACGTTTGGCCTGCCACCCCAGCTGTTCTCCTTTGCCTTTCCTGGTGTCTAGCAGGTCAGAGGCAAAGCCAGCTGGCCGCCGGGGCCGGAGCACATCCCTGAAGGAGCGGCAGCCAGCTCGACCGCAGAATGAGCGGGCCAACAGCCTGGACAATGAGCGCTGTCCAGACACGAGGAGCCAGCTGCAGGTTAGCGTGGGAGCTGAGGGAGGATGCTCCAAGTGGCAGGCAGAGGCAGAGAGAAGCCTAGGGGCCCTGAGGACTGGGAACACATGGAAGGTTTACTGTGAAATTCCCTGCAGACAGGAAGACAGTCATAGGTCCTCTTGTTAGGAAGCCTGTTGACCCTGGGGTTAGTTATAGCCATCCTGTTGCTCTCTCTGAATCAGAGCCACCTAAAGGGTGGCCACTCCAGACCAGGGGACTTCCTTGTTAGGCACTTCCTTACTTACTCCCAGCCTCCATGACTGCTTTGGGATATGGGGTATTGAGGCCCAGGGCTGCAAGTTGAAAGGCCTGGGTGCTGCATCTCCTTGTGTGGACACCTCACTATCTCTAGATTCCCAGGAAAACTGTGTATGACCAACTGAACCACATCCTCATCTCTGATGACCAACTCCCCGAGAATATCATTCTTGTCAACACCTCTGACTGGCAGGGACAGGTAAGGGGTACAGCCATGTGCTCTGTCTTCTGGGGAATTAAGACTTCATATGGCTTTGAAGAACACCAGTCCATGCTGGGGGAGTGGGGGGTACTGATGATCAGCTTTGCCTGGATATCTGTGGGTCCTGTGGGACCTGTGATGAGGGTTGGATAGGGACTACTAGGTGCTATGTCAAGGTCATTGTCAGCTTGTCCCTTTCTAGTTCCTCTCAGATGTCCTACAGAAGCATACACTTCCTGTGGTATGCACATGCTCTGCTGCTGATGTGCAGGCTGCCTTTAGCACCATTGTCTCTCGGATACAGCGATAGTGAGTCTGCCATCCTTCGTTACTTGGGGCACCACCCTTTGGCATTTCTGCCTGAGTATTTACTGGGGCCTTACATCCCAACCCTGCCTGCTGTTTGGAAACAGGGGATATTTGATCTTGAGAATCATGGATGGTTCCAGATGTGCTGCCCATAAACTCCCCAGAGCTTTATTCTGATTCCCAGTGGGTATCTTGAAACTCATTTAAGGGTGATAAGGGGAAGAAGCACTCTCTGGTGGGCTGCTTCCATTTACAGCGATCCCAGCAGAGGCCTTGAGCACAGTCTTCTGGCCCAGGCATATCCAGGCAGATATTCGGCTTCCTATCCTCCAAACTCGGAACTCCTTTTGGTGGGGCATCCTGGGTTTGATAGCTCCTGCACCTTAGGGGCATAGGCTTCCTAGAGCTCAGCAGGGTGATCCTGGGCCAGAGACAGTGAGGCATCTGTCCCTCTCTGCCCCACCCTCTTGGGATCGCAGCTGCAACTGCAATTCTCAGCCACCAACCCCTGTGAAGATCGCGGTGGCGGGAGCACAGCATTACCTCAGCGCCATCCTGCGGCTCTTCGTGGAGCAGCTGTCTCACAAGACGCCTGACTGGCTTGGCTACATGCGCTTCCTCATCATCCCCCTGGGTGAGGGGCCTTGGGCTACTGGCCACCTGTGACTAAACCTGAGAGACCTCAGAGACAGGGACACAGCCTGGTGAGGGTAGAGGTACCAATATGACATGCTTCTGCTGTTTAAAAATTCACAGTTATTTTCACCACATTGAAAGGTCATGTGTGCCAGATATAGTGTTATGCCTGTCCCCCTAGCACGCGGAAGCTAAGGATCAAAAGTGCCAGATCAGCCTGGAACCAGGCTCTGCAGTAAGACCTAAGTCTTCCCTCCACTTTCCTTTCTTCTCTTTGACAAATGTCCTAATCACGTAGACTGTGTCACAGGGCAAACTAGTGGTCCACCACAGATCACTCCACATGAGCTTTGGTTTCTGTCACCAAAAATGCAAAAAGTCTTTATGGGTTGTTATGACTCTGTGGACTTTTGGAGTAGCCATTTGGAGTTCTATAAACACATAACTATAAAACACACCTGGCCAGGCTTCATCTGTTTACCAGTAGTGAAGTTTAAAGGCAGCGCCTCACCTGGGGGCCTTGCCTCATTGTCTTCACTGATCTTTCTGCCTTCACCTTTGACTTTTGTCCATCTCATTTGCCTTCCCTGGTAGAGCAACAGGAAGCGGGAACTTTGTCATAGCCCCTCCCCCACCCTGCAGGCTTACAGCAGAGGGGCTCAGGGCTGCTGGGTTGTCTGGGGTTGGGCAACTCCACATGGTGATAGATTTCCTGGGGCTCCCAGGCTCCCACCCTGTGGCCAGGTACCTGGGTTCTGTGGACTACCGCTACAACAACTTCTTCCAGGATCTGGCCTGGAGAGACCTGTTCAACAAGCTGGAAGCCCAGAGCAGTGGTGAGGCCAGGGCACTGTGTTGGTGAGGGGGGCTGCCCCTTGCATTGGAGAAAAGGCCCCTTTTACTGGAGACCTCCCATCACAAGAGATCCTATTTCTCAGGCTCACTGTGGGGTGGGAGGTGTGTTACGGGGCTTCCCTCACCCAGCCTGAGTTTTTAGCCTTATTGTGGGCTGTGACATTGGGAAGGAGCAGGCACAGGGCTCCAGAACAGGCCTTCAGGGTTTGAGAAGGAACCCTGGCACCCCTGTCTAGGACCGTTGTGGGTGGGCACTTGAGCCAGAGGCAGCTAGCAGAAAGCAAATAGAGAAGAGCCAGAATATAGTGCCTGGGACACAGCGCAGACCCCTAGTCACGTGCTGACCTCTGTCGCCTCCACCTCGTGCAGTGCAGGACACACCAGACGTCGTGTCACGCATCACCCAGTACATCTCAGGAGCCAACTGTGCTCACCAGCTGCCCATCGCAGAGGCTATGCTGACCTACAGGCAGAAGAGGTAACATGGTGGGCCAGGGCTGGGGGCCAGGATGGAAAACCCGAGTGTGCCTGCTTGGCAAGAGCCTGTAATGAATCTATGTCAGATCAGAATACCCAGTTGAGTTTTCAGGACCTTTTATTTTTGTGCATGTTAACATTCTACATGATGTAGTAAAAGGTACTTGTTCCTGTTTTCCTCATATCTGGTCATATTTCTTCCACATGGCTCCTTCCCCACAGGTTCCCTACCCCTGGTTTGGCCTCTGGGTGAACAGTCAGATCATAATCCCATCTGCTCAGAGTGGAGCAGTGCTCAGGAGTTATGTGTGAAAGATTGGACAGAATGGGTCTTGGCCTGGGCTAGATACTTCCTCTCAAGAAGCTGAGGGCCTTCTCAACACTGGATCTTAGGGAACTGAACATATCTCTTTTGGCTCAGACCTCTGGACAATCTACCTGTCTTAGGGTTTCTATTGCCATGAAGAGACACTATGACCACAGCATCTTTAGAAGTTTAGAACTTAATAGAAGAAAACATTTAATTGGACGGCTTACAGTTCAGAGGTTCAGTCCATTATTATTATGGTGGGACATGGCAGTGTGCAGGCAGATATGGTGCTGGAGAAATAGCTGAGAATCCTACATCTTGATCCAGAGGCAATAGGAAGTGTACTGAGGCACTGGGTGTGGCTTGAGCATATATGAGACCTCAAAGCCCACCTCCACAATGACACACTTCTCCAGCAAGGCCACATCTCCTAATAGTGCCACTTTCTTTGGGGGCCATTTTATTTCAAACCACCACACTACCCTACATGCAGTCAAGAAGAGTTAAATGCACAGAGCCTAAGGCAGCCTCCTCTTTGGTGTCCAAGGTGGGCCCAGCACCTTGCTCAGGAGGGGCATAGACCCTGCAGCCAGTGACAGCAAAGTTCTGAATCTCCGTAAATTGCACATGCCACACACTACCTTCCCCAGTCCGAAAGATAGTTAAAGGCTAATCCACTGTAGTAGTTCAACAGAGAAGTCGAGCCTTGCCCCCTGACTGCCTGGTGCTCAGGGACCTCCTGGTGGGGCGGGGCAGATCCATCCTGCACAGACCCTCTAGGAACCCTCATCCCCCTCCCGGCTGCTGCTCCAGATCAAGGTGGGTGAAGAGCCAGCCAGACCAGCAGGGGCCGTTCTGCTACTGCCTCAGTGTGTGGAGGGTTTGTTGTTATTCCTGGGTGTCCTAACATGTATGTTTTCTCTCTTGGTGGCTTTCCAAAAAAGGAAAAAGCACTTTCACTTTGACTTTACCCTGAGGTACAGCTCTCTGGCCTATACCCCTATCTGTCTCTCGGCTGGTCTTTAGGGCTTGTTTAGCAGGATCATTGCCCAAGTGCCTCTCCTCTGATGCTCAGGCAGGATCCCTGTTCCTTGAGGAGCAGGAATGAATCCCTTTTTGGGAGAGGTGCACATGGGTCCTTTGGCCCACAGAGCCAACCTCAGGCAGTTTGTACTGTTAAACTAAGCTTGTGTCGACCCTGTGTTGGCGTCTGACTTCCCGTGTTGGCTTTGCTCCTCGCACTTGACAGTAGCAGTAATCTGGCCACACACACAGCCTCAGGAGAGCGCGGCACCACCAGTGTTGGGCCTGAATTTAAGAGTGTGGAGGTAGGAGTGTGTAGTGGCACAGTGTGGTAGGGGCCTTACCCACTTTCTGCACTATAAAGTCAGCTCCCAGGGCTAGCAGAGGTACAGAGGGGGTTTGTAATATCTTTTCTAGTTTCTTTGGAGGGGGGCAGCCAGGCTTTTGAGGACCCTAAGTAGGAGTAAAGTGCTTTTCTTCCCTGAGAAGACCTCATCCTCTGAAAACTTGACTGCTCCCAGGTCCCCTCAGAGCTACCCTTTTCCTTGCTGAGAGGGTCCTGCACACTGGCCTCAAGGTATCTGTTCTCCTGGGAAGAGTGCCCAGGACAGAGTCATGGGTCCAGGGTCCTCATTGCTGGTAGTGCTACCCATTATTCCAGCCAGCAGGACACAGAGGAGGGTCCTTAAATACCAGCTTGCCCTGCTAAACAAGCCCCCAAATTAGAGAAAGACCAGCCTTCACCCTCCCTCCTGCCTTGAGGCTTGGCCTGTCCACCGGCTGTGAAAGGAAGAGCCTGCAGCATGCCCTCCTGTGCTGTACTCATATCTAGTCAAGCCAGGCTTGAGGAGACCCTCTGTCCCCATACCTCCCTTTGCCTGTGATACAGTAGTGACACCGGCACTAGGTAGGCACGGGTACCTGCAAGGAGCCAGCGAAGACCCATGTTGCCTGGCCTTCCCTGTAGAGCTCTGGCAGAGTGTGCCTGCTCCTGTCTGCCTCTTACCTGAAGCTGGGAATGAAGCTTGTCCTCTGATGGCAGCTGAGCCCTCCGGTCATACAGGGACAGCACATGCTCCAGGCTCCTGTTCTGGTGTATATGGGTGAAATGGTCGTTGGGCCTAGGCTCTGTCTTTGGCTTCATGGCAGGTCTTGGGAACAGATCAAGGGCATGGTTCTTAGATGCCAACCACTTGACTTCCATGAGTACCTGTCCTACAGGCCCTGGCTGCCTCTGCATCCAGGCTCTTGGTTTGCCAGCTAGTGTCACTGCTGTTGCACCCATGGTGGTGCTATCTGCATGGCCCAGGATGCAATGTGACACTGGTGTCATAGTTGCTATACCTACGCTGGTTCTGTCTGCATGGCCCTGGATGCAGCTTGGCTTTGAGTTCTGGTAGCTTCTCCATGTTGCAATGTCTCCTGTGTCTTGTCACACATGGCCTTGTCAGCCCCGCTCTGTTCCCAAGTATCTTAGAGTAGACCACAGATAAGAGGCTGCTCTGCCATGGTCCTAGAGGGCCCTACAGAGTATGGGTGGCCAGTGGGTTAGAGCCCTCCACATTAGGAACCACTATGCTTGCCTGCTTTTTAAATTTGAACCTGGGCCTGGAATGGTGTGTGAAGTGGGCAGACAAGGTAGGGCAGTTTGGGGCCAGGAGTCAAGTCATTTGAAATGGACAAGGGAGAAGAGGTTTCTCTTGTCAAAACTGCCCTCCTTAGAAAGGAAGGGAAGGCTGGGAATTTAGCCATCTCCAGTGGGCTAGCATAGTCCAAGACATCTGACAGGCCTGTGGGTATGAGGAGGACATAGAGAGACCCCTCCTGCTGCATAGGCCACTGGTCTATCTTGTGGGTGCCTTGTGAGTGGGAGCACTGGAAACAAGCCTCTGCCCCACCAGGGAGATGAGCTGCCAGTCCTGGAAGCTCATGCCACCCAGGACAGGTGACTGGCTGATCACACACCTCCCAAGTTCTGTTTTGCACAAAGATGCCTCACTGAAACCGTGTTAGGCAGCACCTGCTGCAGTGTGACACCGAGCCTAGACACAGGAAGAAGCCCATCCATCTCAGCACTTGGCCTGATGTACATGTACATCTCTGCAACCGGTGTTCTGGCCTCTAATAGCAGTGTAAGGAAACCAGATAGAGCTGAGAGAACCACGCAGAAATGACTCCAGCTACTAACGTGCTCTTCAGATCAGGAAGTCACCGGGGAGGGCAGGCGGGAAGGGCATGGAAGAAATAGGACTACCTCTGCCGTCAGTCCTTCCAAGAGATGGAGGACTCACTCTGACTGCTGATGGAACCATGTGCACCACGCTGAGGCTATGCCTTGTGGGAGACTGGTCAGGGAGCCGCCTCCTCAGAGATGCACCACATGGCTAGCCCTAGTGGGTAGTGCGTGGAAGGGGGACAACGAATGATTCTTCATCTCGGCCCCTGATCTCAGGCCTTGGCATCTTCATGTGGATGGGCATGACGAGCACTTCCAGGACAAGCTGCTGTTTTGCCGAATGTTGTACAGAGTCAAGTACAGACAATACCTCATCCAGTCACTAATCCTGGTCAGCTATTCAAACTCTTCCCAAGAGTCCTGCTCAGGCCTCAGACTACACTTAGATGTTACCGTTAGAACCTCGCATGTCTACCCCAGCATGTTAGCCAAAGCTGCAGGCTGTATAGATGGCACTGACTTCACACAGACTCAGGAAGAAACCTTCATGCACTGGTTTTGGGAAAGGCAACCCCAGTCACTGGAGAAGGCCCAGTTCTGGATTCCATGGGCTTGCACATGAAGCAAGGAGTTGGCTTGATAGGCCTGGAAACAGGCAGATAGGCAGGGCTGCACAGGCACCTGCAATAAAAGCATTTTCCTTCAAGGGTCTCGAGCTCTAGTATTCGCTCCCCAGTTGCAGGACTGTACACCAGCTTCCTCCCAGGGGTGCAGAAATCCTCTGCTTATCGTTATGTTGGTAAAATGGAAAGGATCCACGTATCAGCCATGTCATCCAGGGGCCTTTCTGTAGTGACGAAGAGTACCTATGGGCAGGAGATGTGGCTGAGGGCCATGGTGGGAAGAGGTTAGGGATGAGTGGGCTGGGCCCCTGGGCAGAGGACAGCCGAGGTTGGGGTGCTCTAGCAGAGAGTCTAACAGTCTGTTTTTGCTCCCAGCCCTGATGAAGAATCCTCTCAGAGGTTCATTCCCTTTGTTGGGGTGAGTATCTAATCACCAGCTTCATTCACTGGGAACATGAACCTGCTAAGATTCCTGTCAAAACAGAGTCCTTTTCTATTAGCTTGCACATACAAGAACCTTCCTCACCATGTGAGCCCACTGAGGACTGCTTAATTCCTTCTCATAAATGCTCCTTGCTCACTTCCTGCATTGTTTGGTTCCCACAGTGAATACATGGGAGTATAAGCCCCTTTTCTGGGGGAGGTGTGTCAGCCTGTCAACTCAGCACTCGGGCGAGGAGGCTCAGCCCTGTCTACAAGATAAGGATGAGCCTTCTGGCAGGTTTGCTCAGTTAGGGCTGTACCTCCTGGCATAGGCTAGACATGACCAAATGTGGAGGCTCGCTCTCAGTCCCATTTTTACAGCCTTTGCATCTCTGTCATAGGTTGTCCTGCTGTGAGATCTCTAGAGCACCGTGACACTTGATCTCCAGGCAGTGACAGCTATCTTTATAGCATCCTGTTCGGGGCCCTTTCTGTAGTGACAGAAGTGCTCTATGGGTACCTAACATGGCTGAGACTGAATTTGATATTGTAATTCACTCTGGACTGCCACAGCTTCATGTGGCTAATGGCCACCTTGCTGGACGGTTCAAGCCTGAAGCACTCTCCCACTTGGCCCATACAGTATTCGGAGCAGCTCCTGCTTCTGCATCCGTGTTTTTCCTGCCAGCATCCAAGTCTGATGGATGTCTGGGACTAACCAGTCACATGCACATGGGATTTGCCACTGTCCAGAGCTGAGCCATGCCCCATAGATAGGAGGATGCTGGGACCTGTTTCCTATTCTGTGGGTACAGAAGCTGGGCAGCAGCAGGGACATAGGAACCTATCTGAGATGAACTCCAAAGTGGTGCCTAAGCAGAGCAGTAGGGCTCCTCAACCTCCCCACCTGCCTCTAGCCAGCATCTATTACTTCCCAGGTTGTGAAGGTTGGAATTGTGGAACCATCTTCAGCCACATCAGGTAACTTCATCCCTCTTTGAGGACTGTTCAGGTAGCCCTCTGGATAGGTGGTCCCTCTGGTCTTAAGGACCAGCAAATGTCTACTGATTCTCCTATACTTACAAAGCCTCAGATCAAGGCAAAGTGGCAGTTCTCCCAGCCAAGAAATGCTGTCCTGCCCCCCCATGAGTTCCTCTGCCTCCCCTCCTTGCCCTGAGAGCTGCCTCTCCAGCCCTAACTCGGGCTCCAGCCAACTGTGGGGCCGACCGGAAGGAAGGCTGTCTGCCCACTGCCTGTGACTCTTCCCTAAGGAGACTCGGACGATGCAGCCCCCTCGGGCTCCAGTGTGCTGTCTTCTACACCACCGTCTGTGTCTACATCTCCTGCGGCCAAGGAGGCTTCACCTACTCCACCCTCCTCCCCTTCAGTGAGCGGAGGCCTGTCCTCCCCCAGGTAAACAACGTGGCTCTCATCTTATTTGTTAAAAGGTGACATCCACCCTTTGTGTTACCCATTTTGTCAGCAATACAGGCAGATGCTGGTGAAGGAGTGGTGGGGGTCCTGTGAGGGATACTTGGGGCCGGGGCCGGGTGCCATAGAGCAGTGTAGGAGGTAGCTGATGTCTTTAATGAGTACTCCTAGGGACAGGAGTTACCGTAAATGAACATGGGCCTCACTGAGCCTGGATGCACCTTTGCGCAGAGTGGGCTGTTAAAGAGGAACTGACGGGGGAGGTGCAGGTGACAGCCCGTCAGGCCCCACACAAGCGAGCTGAGTCCTACCAAGCCACCTGAGTCCTGAGCAGAACTCAGACAACCAAGTTGAACTGGGGAGTTTGAGTGCATAATGAACATGGCCTGAAGGTCCAGTCAGGTTGCTGGCTCTTTGTCAGGGCCCTTCTAGCTACCTGCTCTCACCAGGCACTCACCTCTGATGAAGCTATTCATCTGAGTCCTAGGAGAGTAGGTGTGCAGGCTGCATGGCAATTTTGCCAGGGCGCCAACAGTATGCCAGGAGACAAGTGGGCAGTCAGCTCTGCAGAGCTTCTCATAGTTCACTGGCACTGGCCAGCGGTTAGTAGGTAAGGTGCCGGCCACACCTCCTTGCCTACAATGGCACAGTGACATCATGAGTGTGAGTACCTTCCCTCTGCCTTTCACAGCCAGGGCATCGGCGCCGAGCTCATGGGGCTGCAGGTGGACTACTGGACGGCAGCACAGCCCGCGGACAGGAAGAGGGATGCTGAGAAGAAGGACTTGCCCACCACCAAAAACACGCTCAAGTGCACTTTCCGGTCCCTCCAGGTCAGCAGGCTGCCCAGCAGTGGCGAGGCTGCAGCCACACCCACCATGTCCATGACTGTGGTCACCAAGGAGAAGAACAAGAAGGGTGAGGTGGGAATGTACTGAGCAGGGCTGGACAATAGGAGAGGGGCCTCTGTGGTGATTATTGGTGATGGGGATATCATTCTCACACCTTAGCAAGTTCCCAGTAAGTTCATAATCATGAGCCCACAACTCACTTCAGAAGGGGTTAGCAGTCAGATATGTTTTGACAGCTGTGAGGACACTGAGGTTCTAGGCAGCCTCTGACTTCAGGTAGACTATCAGGCAAGAGGGTGCTCTGTATGTGGTCACAGCAAGAAGCTGAATCCCAGGTGAGCAGGGGCCAGCCAAGTCCCCATCGCTATTTCTCTCCCTGCCTGCTGCTGGGGCTCTGGCCAGTTTGGCCCTGAAGGAGCAGTGGATCAACAGCAGGGCTCTTTTCTTCCCAGTGATGTTTTTGCCCAAGAAAACCAAGGACAAGGATGTGGAATCTAAAAGCCAGTGCATCGAAGGCATCAGCCGACTGATCTGCACAGCTAAGCACCAACAGAACATGCTTCGGGGTGAGCATGGGCCAAGGGGCTGCATTATAGGGTGCTGGGGGAATCAGTCCATGACCCAGGTCCTTTTTGGTTCTGTCTATAAAATGTGAATGCAGAACAAAACAGATGGCTGGATTTTCAGATTTGCTATGAAAGGCATTCTTAGAGAGATTCACACTTGGAACACGTTTTGATAAGGTACTTACATGCATCTAACAGTCTTTCAAGTTCAAATAATTTTTCAGCCTTTTCTGTGTTTTTATTGATAGAGATATGGTGGGGGTTGCTAGAGATTGAACCTAGGGTTTCATGCATGCTAGGCAAATGCTCTTCCATTGGGCTATATTCCCAGCCCTTCATTTTAAAGATTGGTTTTATACCTAAGTGTCTTACAGAGGCTATTCTGTAAGCAGTGCATTCAGAGTGTAGGACTCTTGGTCCTCTGTGGATTTAGGGTCCTGAGTCTTCCTAAGGCTCCCTCTGGAAATGCAGCTATTTTAAGTAGGACCTTGTGAAGTGTCATGCCTGGCTGAAGTGTGGCTAGACTGCCTTTGCCACTGGTCCCCGGGAGGTAGACCCACCATGGCACTGAGTCTTGGGAGGGCAGGTGGTAGAAAGGGCCTGGTAAGCATGGCTTCCTCCAGTTCAGGATCACCCTGCCCGCTGGCAGCAGCCCACCATTTCAGGTGGTTGCCTCGCCAGGCAGGCAGATGGTTAGGTGGCCCTCTCCCACAGTCCTCATCGATGGCGTGGAATGCAGCGATGTCAAGTTCTTCCAGCTGGCTGCCCAGTGGTCTTCCCATGTGAAGCACTTCCCTATCTGCATCTTTGGACACTCCAAGGCCACCTTCTAGCCCTACCCACGGAAGGGCTGACACAGGACAGTGGAGGGGCCCATGTCCTGCTCTGTGTCAGCTATCAATGGAGGGACACTGTGTTTCTGTTAACATGTGGTTACTACAGAGACAGACTCTTCAAAACACAAAGAAACAGTCTTAAGTATGAATGTGCTCACAGCCCAGAAACTAAGGGGAAGCTAGCTCCCTGTGGGCCACCGAGTAACTTTGCTCTGCTTATTAACCAGAATATGTGGGCAGTGGAAAGGCTGGTAAGAAGGGAGGTGAGCTCTGGTCTCATGAAACCCCAGGACCACAAGCAAGAAGTGTTCTTGTCTTTGTGTCCTGTCCTTCCCTGAAGTCAGGAATCTGCTTTCTTGGGGGGTAGGGAGCAGGGTTCAGGCTTTGGAGTTTAGTGGCCAAAAGCTGAGGGTAAAGGGCATGTTTGGTCTCCTAGCATGGGATGTCGGCCCCTAGCACCCCCATGTGTGGTTCCCAATAAACTCCAGCCTCATGGCGGAGGTTTTACAGTAGCAGATCTTTCTAATGCTCTCAGATACATTTGACGACGTAGCTGCCAAGCAGATGTTGCTCTTGTGAAGTCCCCTTGGGTGGGGTAAAGCCAGCAGGAGCTACATACCCACCCCTGCCCCTCTGGCTCCAGCTCCAGAGGCACTGCTAGGCTTCTGTGGATCCTGCTGCTCAGATAGGTGTCCTTGCACATTTCCCAGTGTTTGTCCTGGAAATGGGAGACACTGCTGGGTCTGTCTGAGGCCTGCTCTACCATGCCCTTCCACCTCTCTTCTGCCTGCTGGACAGGAACATCCAGGACTGGCCATGTGGGGTTGAGAATCAAGGTTGTAAACTGGAAACAGGCAACTAGAGGGGTGTGTGTGTGTGTGTGTGTGTGTGTGTGTGTGTGTGTGTGTGTGGTGTGGTGTGGTGTGGTGTGGTGTGGTGTGTGTGTGGTGTGGTGTGTGGTGTGGTGTGTGGTGTTTAGTGTAGCCAGTGGAGGAAACAGGCAACTAGAGAGGGGTGTGTGTGTGTGTGTGTGTGTGGTGTGGTGTGCGGTGTTTAGTGTAGCCAGTGGAGGAAACAGGCAACTAGAGAGGGGTGTGTGTGTGTGTGTGTGTGTGTGTGTGGTGTGGTGTTTAGTGTAGCCAGTGGAGGAAACAGGCAACTAGAGAGGGGTGTGTGTGTGTGTGTGTGTGTGTGTGTGTGTGTGTGTGTGTGTGTGTGTGTGTAGCCAGTGAAGGCTCCAGCAGGCTGGTCTAACTACAGAAGCTATCCAAGGGTCTATCCAAGCTAAGCTCCTCAAAGAAGCCACCTGGATCCCATTCTTGGTGGCAGCTCTGTCCTCCACCACCTTCCCACTCAGCAGGAGAGGGATGTGCTGGCCTGCAGCAAGTATCATCCTGACTGTACATGCCCCACCAGATTCATGAAGGGGTTACTGCCTCAGTCCTAATTTTTTCAAGAATCCTTTCTTCCTCTCTGGGGTGTCATTGGAAGAATGAATGCCTGCCCCTTTGAAAGCTGTGGCACTCCCGGGCACCCTGGTGGTTCAATAGGAGCCCAGAGTTTGGGGTCCTGACCTTGAGAACCTCCTAAGAGCATGCTCAGAAAATTGCCAACAATAGGGCTGAGTTTGAGGACTCCTCACTTTTCCTTGGGTGAAAGATGGCCCATTTTCTTTTTACTTACTTCCCCACCCCACCTTGCTGAAAAGAGTCCATTTGCCCAGGGTGAGGCCCTGTACTGCTGCTGGGTTGGGCCCTAATCCCTGGGCACAGGGCTTAGTGGTAGTGGAACCCCTGGTGAGGAGTACTCTGAAAAGATCCTGTTACAGAGCCAGGCCACTGTGATCCTTGGAGCTTAAGAGCCTGGCTTACCCTACCACTTGCGTTTCTTCCCAAAGGTCAACCTTGGTAGGAAAGATTTGGCCTGGAATTCTGGCCTTGAGGCAATGGGTGGGGGGGAGGGGAGCAGAGGGAGGATGTTTCAAGCTTATGCCTGAGAACAGCCCCTTTCCTGGAGAACTCTTCCTCTGTACATGCGTCCTTGATTGTCCAGAGGTCTGACTTTATACAAGAGAAGGGTATGGGCAGAGAGCCTCTGTCAGCAGCTGGCCCAAGACGAAGTCAGTAAAGCCTAGCACATGAGCACCATGCACCCACCACCATAGCAGCGCCAGGTGCAGACCTAGAAGCAGTCATCCCCTGTGCCTCAGTTTCCCCGTTGGTTAAAGAGAGATGGTCCATTTTCCTTGCCTACCTCATGGAGCTGTAATGAGGATTCAAGAGAAGCACTTTTGTCCCTTTGAAGGATGACTAGACACCAAAGCCCCCTGACAGGCAGTGCAGTGTTGAGGACAGCAGTGTGCGATACATCCCACAGGCCTTAGGCCTGGCCACACAGCCTGTGTGGATGGGAAGGTTCGCCCTCATTCCTGTCAGTTGGGGGCCCTGCCTCCTACCTTCACGTTGGCCCCTGCCACCACCCTCTGAGTATGCAGCTCAGTATCACTGTTTGGTACCAGAGCGGGGAGGGGAGGGGTGGCCCTCGGCTCCTGTGCAATGGCTTGTCCTAGCCTTATCCTGCAGGCCTCATTTCTGCCTCTAGCCTCCATCTCAAATGAATTCCTTATAAAAAATGTCCCGGCACTTCTTCCCTGAGCCAGGGTACTGGACCCTCACCTGCTCTCCAAACCCCCACGCCCTCCGGAGACTGCTCTGTCCTGGAGAGGGGCCAGCAGAGGCTGACCGCCTTGCGTGAGGATGACTCCGTCCACTTCTGAAGACTGTCCAGCGCGTTGTGACTGATTTCTAGGGTGTGTGTATGTATTGCTAGTTTGTTTGTTTTTAGTGGAAAGCAGGATTCATGTAAATAGCTTTTTTGGGAACAGATGCTGATCTGTCCCATGCGACCATGTGGACGATTTTAAGGTGCTGAAGCGACACTAATAAACTGACGGCGCTCAGGCCGCCCACTGCTGTGATTTCTTTCAATGTATTGGGGCCACGCGGCTGGGGCCCTGGGGTGCGGGGGCGCAAGCGTCGAGGGCGGAAGCAGCAGCGGAGGGCGGGGTCTGTAGAACGGAAGCTCCAGGTCCACTCCGCCCCTCTTAGGATTCTGTCTCGGCTGTCTGAGGCTGGTCCCTTCGGTTCCACTGAGTTGCCTTCACATTAGTCCGAGCTCACCGCCACTTCACTGAGTCCTCCTGGCCGCTCCATCTATCCAGACCCAATTGAGCGCTCGCAGCCCGCGACTCTCCATTCCCCCCACGCCCCGTGCAGGCCCTTCTGAGCCTGGTCCCACCGGCTGATCCGTTGTCAATTGGATCCCATTAAGTCGGTCTCATTTGTCCGGGATCCTCCTGACCCTTTCCTTTGTAGTGTCCACCGATCCCGCTCTGGAAGCCCCCGGGCGAGCTCTGCTCCCGCGTGGGAGCGGGTGACCCAACTCCCCTCACGTTTCACCCCTGCCCCTCAACTGACTTCCACAGTTCAGGTCCGCGGACAGGGAGGGAAATGAGAGCTCAGGCTGGCCCCGAGCCTTGTGTGTAGTAGGGTTGTTAAAATGACAGAAGGGAGGCGGGCTGAGGGCAGGATCCTAGGATTGAGAGCTTGTCAGAACAGCAGACAACGCACCCCCTACGAGGCAAGACTGGGGAAGGCAGAGAAGGGAAGCATCTACTTCTGCTGGGCTACTGATGCCCCTGGGGGCACTGCTGGTGTGGTGGGCAGTGGCCGCAGGATCTAGGAAAGGAAGTCACGTAAGGGCCCTCGCTGTTTGTCAAGAGTAGTAACTGGCGAGAAGGTGACCCTAGCAGAGCTTGCCATTTGCTTCGTGTCTGTCGTGGCAGCCAGAGCCCTAGATGTGCGAACTGCAGCCTGCTGTAGGTAGAGATGGACAGCAGGCGGCAGCGCCCCCGGAGGAAGACGCTACAGTGGCAGCTCGCTCAAGAACAACCGCAACAGTCCCCCTCACATGGGCCTTCAGCGGCCTCCGTCCAGCCAGACACCAAGAGCAACCCTCAGGAGGACTTGCAGACCCAAGACTGGGTAAGCTGCAGGAGGCTCTTCTGAAAACCCACGCTGATTGGGGAGGGGCGTGGAGAACGGACCTCTGGGACCAGAGGCGAGGCCTGAATGGGACTGACAGAAACATGGAGTTTCCAGGGCTCTCTTTCTCCAACCACTCTGGCGAGGAGGCTTGGAGTTAGACTTGCACCCCTTTTGCTTCCTCTGGAGGACACCAAGGAGGGATTGCCTGAGGTCAGGAAGAGGGTGCCTCACATACCTCTCTCAGCCCTCCCCAGTGTCCCCCAACCCTGGACAAGAGGGTTTCACTAAGTGGGAGGGGGAATGAGGTCCCCACAGCAGGCAAGTGTCCTCTCTGTATTGGCTGTCACTGAAATGCACACGGCAGCTGTGTTTGTGACAGCCTCCAACAGTAAGCAAACCCTGACCAGCCTTTCCGGACAGCAGGCGCTGGATTGTGTTCGCCCAGAGGTAGGAGAAACAGGCCCGACTGCAGACCCCTGGGACACTCCCTGAGCAGGCTATCACACTATCTGCGGTATAGTTTCCACTGAGAAAGAGTTCAGAGCCAAACCACATCAGTCAAGACTGTGGCAAAACTCACGCCCGTGGTGCTTTGGTGGTGTAACCAGCCATGGAGCCAGGCACTGAAGTGTGTGTTTGTCTGCCTGTGTACGTGCTGAGGTAAAAGGTCAGGCAGGTAAAGAAGGCAGGCTCCCAAGCTTGGTGTCATGGTTCACACATTGAAGGGGTGGGGTGGGAGCATTGCAAGTTCAAGGCCAGGCTGAGCTGTATAACAAAACACTGTTTCAAAAAACTAGCAACAATGCAGAGAGTGGGGTCCCAGGGTCGCCTGCATGACTACCCCATGACTTCCTCAGCATGTCCCCAGGACCCAGTGCCTTGAGGCCCCTACAAAGGTTACAAATGCCAAGACCTGACCTCTACAATGCTAACCAATAGACCCCTCAGCTTTCATGAGGCCAGGGTCTCACCCGGGACATTCCAGATTGTGAAGACACTAACGTGTCACCTGCTGGGTGTGATTTGCCCAGGCCGAGGGACAGCTGCAGCGATTTTATACTGCTGAGACAATGGGGGAGAACAGGTCCTATGGCTGAAGGGACTCCAGGCTCCAGGTTGGGGACCGAGAGTCACTTCAGTGTCTGCCGCACCTTGGCTCCTTTTGGGGTCAGCTCCAATTTGAAGTTCCTCTGCCTCCTTCTTCCCCAGTTCTCAGGCCCTGCTAGTGGCTCTGGCCTTGAAGGATGTCCAGGCTGCCTTCCCTAACCTTGTCCTGTGTCAAGTTCTCGCCCTTGGTATAGACTGTGCCTTGTGCCTCCTCTGGGTCTTCCCTCCGCTGGCTCTGTCTCGTGTTGCCTCCCACAGAGCTCCTGGCCTGGCTAACATAGCCCTTTGTCCCTCCCTTCCCAGCGGAGTCTACAGAGTCTTCTCTCTGCAGGTTGTCTTCAGCCCACAGTGCCACACGGTGCCTCAGAGAGTGCAGGGACCTTGGGCTGAGGTAAGGGTTGGAGAAAGTCTTCCTAGCAGAGGGTCCTTAGGCGTCCAGTTCAGCCACAGTACAGTACTTCCCGACCATCTGGCCAGCATGCTGTGAGCACTGGAGAGGAGCAGGCAGGAGGCTTGGGGTGGCTCTAGGCTGAACCACATAAGGGACACCTTCCTCACCCCACCCGCCTCTGAAACTGTGAGTGGCCAGCCAAGGAGCACCAGACATGCAAAAACGTGGAGACCCTGTGATTGTCCTGGTTAGTCCAAAAGAGTCTTCTGGAATCTTAGCCAGTATGGTGTTCAGAAGTCAGTAGCCTCTACAGCCACTACAGCAGACAGGATCAGCAAGGGAAGGTAATCCTCCCTTTTCATGACAGCAGGTAAAACTCAGGAAATAGACAAAACCTACTTGAGATGAACTTTACTTACCCTCTCCACCCAAAGAATTACAAAGCCTCGAATGATAGGAGAGATACTCTGTTCTGGAGAGCAATGTCAGATTCGGGGGGTTCTCTCCAAGGCGTTTCAAAACTCAGGATATCACTAAAAATGCTACATGTTGCCAGGCACAGTGGTGTACAACTTCCCAGCACTTGGGAAGCAGAGGCAGGCAGATCTCTCCAAGTTCAAGTCCAGCCTGGTCTACATAGAGACTTCCAGGCCAGCCAGGGCTACATAGTAATTCCTTGCTTCAAAACAAAGCAAAATAATAATAATAATAATAATAATAATAATAATAATAATAATAATAAACCCTACATTTCTCTTGTCTTACAGTTAAGTGCATATAGAAAAAAAAGAATAGCTGGGCTAGCTTCAACCTAGGAGATGGGAATTCATATGTAAGGCTTTGCCATAGTCAAGGAAAAAGGGTAGCTTATAGCCAGATAGGAAGAAAACAATTGCTTTTGGCAGCAATATATTACCTGTCTAGAAAATTCACATAAACCAGCTCAAAAATAAAAGACAAAGGTTGGTTATATGACTATTGTAACTTACTTGTTTCAATACACTAAATTAGAAAATATCATGAAAAGTTCCCATTCACTTTAGCAATAGAAATTATGAGGTCCTTTAGGTTATTTATTTTGAGGAACACCAGGAGTTTTGCCAGATAACACCAAGATCTTCTGTGGAACCAGATCCTATTACTGTGTGGACATATATAATTTTTGTTTGTTGGTTTGGTTTTTTGTTTTTCAAGACAGGGTTTCTCTGTGTAGCTTTGGTTCCTGTCCTGGATCTCGCTCTACAGACCAGGCTGGCCTCGAACTAACAGAGATTCGCTTGCCTCTGCCTCCCATGTGCTGGGATTAAAGGCATGCGTCACCACCGCCTGACCTGGTTTTGTTTTTTCAAGACAAGGTTTCACTGTGTTGTGTATCCCTGGCTGTCCTGGATCTCACTCTGTAGACCAGGCTGGCATTGAACTCACAGAGATCCACCTGCTTCTGTCTCCCAAGTGCTGGGATTAAAGGTGTGCCACCACTGCTGGCTAATATATAATGTTTTCAACCTGCCAGTTTGCCCCAAAATAATTTAAGTGGTGTTCCTATGGGGAGGGGACATTGGTTTTGGGTTTTTGAAACAAGGTCTCATGTAGCCCAGGCTGGTTTTGAACTTGCTGTTTAAGCCAACTATAACCTTGAACTCCTGATCCTCCTGCCTCTACCTCATGAGTTCAGAAATTATAGACGGTAGGGCAGGTGCTTTGCTTGAGTGGCTCTGGCTTGGTCTCAGGAGGTGACGGCCGAGGGTTCAGTCAACCACAGTCCTCTGAAAGCAGGAAGAATGGAAGCTGCTTCTACAGTAGCTCCCACCCACAGGAAGTCAGTGGTAGGTAGTGAAGAGTGGGGGCATTGGCAGCCCGTAGACCCTTACCTCAGGATGCTCTTGGGTGGAGATCTCCCCAGGATTGCTGAGTAGCCTCAGGAAGGCAGCCAAGCACTGGCTTCCCCCAGCGAGAGAGCAGGGTAGAAACTGCTAAGACATTTGCATTCTAGCCTGGGAGTCACGTCCCAACGTTTCCATGTATTTTGTTTGTTTGTTTGTTTTGTGGAGGAGATCACACTAGTCATTCCTACTTGGTGTGTGAGAGGGAGTTGGGGGGGGTAACAGGAGTATGATCACCAGGGGCTGGCTGTCAATGGGTTTGACCATTCTAGAGGCTGGCTGTCATAAACAGTAATTTAGGGCCCTCGGCCAGGCAGTGGTGGCGCACATCTTTAATCCCAGCACTTGGGAGGCAGCGGCAGGCAGATCTCTGAGTTCGAGGCCAGCCTGGTCTAGCCTACCAAGTACGTTTTAGGACAGCCAGAGCTGTTACACAGAGAAACCTGTCTCAAAAAACAAACAAACAAACAAAAAAAACAACCAAAGTCTGTAGGTAGGGCCCAAGCAGAATGAATGGAAGGATTGTCTACTGTGCATCGTCATGGTGGAAGTGCGGAATGCTGAGATGAAGGTCTGAGAGGTACCAACACGCACAGGGCACCTCACGAATTGCTGCCGAAGCTCATTACAGAGCAGGGTAGCTCGTATGTGCTGAGAGGAAATAGTCAACGTTTTCTTTTATTTGGTTTTTTGAGACAGGCTCTCAAGTCCAGGTTGGCCTTGGAATCATTTGAAGTCCTCAGGCCTCAGCTTTCCAGACGCTAGCATCCCAGATGCCACTGCACCTAGCCTAACAGCCACCTTTTAAAGAATTACGTTTATGTGAATGTGCGTGCGCCTGTATGAGTCTGTGTACCATGCGCATGCGGGAGCCCGAAGAGGCCCGAAGAGAATGTTAGATTTCTTGGAACTGGAGGTGCAGGGTGTTGTCAGCCGCCATACAGGTGATGGGAACCTGATGGCGTCCTCTGGAAGAGCAGCAGTAAGCACTCTTAGCTACTAAGTCATTTCTCCAGCCCAGCAGTCTACTTTTAATTGTATGCCTGGTTAAAAAAAAATCTCTGACATAAAGAAAAATAAAGTGATAAACAAAGAATTTTCCCATCAGAGACTCTCATCTCAGTTCTGAGAACACACCTCAAAGAACCAGGGAGTATCTCAGAACACATAAGAAGGAAGGGGGTATCTGAGGACACATGAGAAGGAAGGGGTATCTCAGAACACATGAGAAGAAAGGGGGTATCTCAGAACACATGAGAAGGAAGGGGGTATCTTAGAACACATAAGAAGGAAGGGGGTATCTGAGGACATATGAGAAGAAAGGGGGTATCTGAGGACACATGAGAAGGAAGGGGGTATCTCAGAACACATGAGAAGGAAGGGGTATCTGAGGACACATGAGAAGGAAGGGGGTATCTGAGGACACATGAGAAGGAAAGGGGTATCTCAGAACACATGAGAAGGAAGGGGTATCTGAGGACACATGAGAAGGAAGGGGGTATCTGAGGACACATGAGAAGGAAGGGAGTGGCCAGACAAACTGAAGGGAAGGCCGTCAGAATCCAAGCTCACTGCCCCACTTACACAGGTAAGCAGAAGGTGGGTTCTAGGCCACC